TATTCTTAACTATGCTACCGAAAATATGCCCACGCGTCGTCTTCACAGTATGCTAAAACACTGAGCGGCAGTTACACTTGAGTGAGCGCGAAGTGATATTACAAATGAGCGTATGAGCCTTTTGAATACGCGCACGAAAACCGAAGGCTTGATCGTTCCGTGGCGGCTCTGTTGAAAATACCGACCGTTCCATGGCGGTCCTGGTGAGGGCAGATCGAGACCCGGTGCCATGGCTTCTACTGGTAGATGATTGAATCGGTTCACTATGGTCGGTCACTGTGGTCAGGTCACGGCAAGATGTTAGCTGTAAGCGCAGTTGAGCGAGGATGGTTCGGCAAGAGATGATTAGCAACAGTGAGAGAGAGAGGCACGCCGCATGCTTGCATTATATATCCACGCGGCGGCTCACTTAGCTGGCAACAAGGTATCGTCGTTGCTGCACTGGAATATTACATGAGGCGCAGAAAGAAAAATCTAGAATTTTCGAGAATTTGGAGAAAAAAAAAGTAGGGCGAAATACCGATAGAAAACTTCCGGAAGATGTTATTACCCGAAGACCATATAAACATTACGGGCCACTTGAAACCAAAACATAACAAGTAGACGAAAAATTCTCATGCTAGTGTTTACAAAAATCTGAGATCCGAAAGGGCCGGCGATGCCGACAATCGGCGGTCTTGAACTGGCTTTAATCTCGAATAGTCTCTTAAATATGTGTTTGAATAAAATGAATTTGATCATTACAAATTCAGTATCAAATTTATTACATTATAAAAATATATTTTAAAATTTGAAGTTTGAGCAAGATTTAATGCCAATTGAGGAATTATACCAAATTTGTAATATTAATAATTAACATTATTAATAATGTATTATTTCAAATTTATTATATAAAAAAAAAAAAAAAAAAAAAAAATTGAAAATACAAAATATTTTAATAAATTTAGGAAATTATCGACAAGCATACATATCTTCATGGATACAGTACTATATTATTTTCCTAAAGTTTGTCGTGATCAAATATAATTTGAAAGTATTATCTTTTTTCGGTACAATTTTTGTAAGAAAACGATAAACTTGAAAAAAATAAAAGTAAGCTCGCCTAATTAGATAAAATATCTACTTTTAAATTATAAAACATAAATAAAGTTAATGGAACAATGTAGGAGGGATGGTGACGGCTGGAAATAAAAGAATATGTACGAGGTACAACTCACACATATTATGCATTGAAACAAGTTTATCGATTACTCCTATATTAGTAACATAGAGGCACGTTGCTTAGTTTAGTTCAGAGACTATGTCGGTCAATGTATAGTTAGGCGTGTTACCCGCGAATACCTCCATAAGGTACTTGCGCATCTACACCGGTACATGTGCATATGCAGCAAATAAAATAAAGTTGATTTTATCGATGTGTAATCAGTTATGAGCTTTGCGCTAACGTGTGAGTTTTGATGATTTCTCGCGGCATACGATTTTCTCTTTTATCGTTTTTTTTTTTTTTTGTACTCTTTTTTTTGTCTGTCCCAAGGGCAAGTAGATTAATTAGTCACGTTCGCGTTGGAGCGACGGTACGTGGCGCATAATTCACAACTCAACTGGGGTTTTCCAAAAGGGATGTATCACATTACCTTCACTCATAAGGTTTTTATTACATAGGGCAGTAGGCACAGACACACGCGCAACACGCGACAGCAGAAACGGGGTTTTGAGGAGGATTAGTATTGTTGTGCTTGTGTTGAAAGGGTCGATGAGTATGAAAGGTGGTCTCAAGTAAAAATGTGGATCGTTCGAAGAACCAAGCGACATAAAATGATCAGAATATGAATTCTTGTTTTTGTTTTCTATATCGCTTCGCAGTATATAATTATTACCTTAAGAAAGCATTTGGGCATATGTATGTTGATTGTAGGCATATTATTATTCTCTCGTCGCATCGATGAACGTTCTTGTTTTCTTAAGCGGAGATGTATTACTAGAGAATTTGTTGTTCAACTATTGGGAGTATTATAATATGTTAGATATTTTTTTAGAATAGAAGATGCAAAAATAGAACTCTAATAAATTTATCTTTCCTAAGATACTTTAAATTATAAAGCGTTTTAATCAGCTTTATTTCCAAGAAACATAAATATGTCTTATCTTTTAATTTAAAAATTGAATTAGTAATTTCAATAATTCCATTGATTTAGTCTCTTATAGATTAATAAAAATAAATACAAAACAGACCAGTCGATATATAAATATACTTCTTAAAAATATATATATATAACTATTTGTTTTATATTTTATTGCTGAAACAGAGGGTTAAAAATGGGGGAAAGGTCAAGGCATTAGATGAACAAATATCAATCAAGTATATTTTTAGAAAACTATCGATTCCAACTGGAAATGATAAAATTCCTGGAGTTTGAATGATATTACATTTTTTCGTTGTATTCAAATGGCCAATTAAAAATGATTTATTTATGTATATTATTCTATTTAGTACTATAGTTTTTTCAATATTTTAATTAATTTTTACTTGGTAAAGTACAAATAATTATTAAAAAATATAAGAAATGTAGTTAATAATTTGGTTTAAACTGTTATAGTGCTTGCAAATATTTACTAAGCAATTATTGGTATTATTTGAATATATTCATTCATCATATTGTTATTTCTTTTGCAACTTACGTTGAGCTTCAAATTGATATAAAGATTTGACATTTTTTATGCAGTCAGTGTGAAACTTTAGCCAATATACAGAGAAGCTGGAAATGTAGAATATTTCTATTATTATGCAGAACATATGATCAGCAAAGATTAACCGTATGATTTTATGTAAATAAGAAGCAATAAAAAGATGAAAAAATGAAGACAAAAGCTGGAATAATTTTAACAAAGAAAACAATGAATAATGAGCATCATATTCCTTAGTAATTATAAACAGTAATAGAAGGGCTAAATATAAGCTGAACCACTACAACTAAGAGCAACGCTAAAACTACATCAACGTAAATGAACATGGATAGCATAATCAGTGGTTAATAACCGATCTTATAAGATATACACAATTTACTGGTTCACTATTGTATATTTTTGACTTTGGATTAGATCTTGAATTTCAAGTATATGAAAAACAAGAATAAATTGTGCGCATTCGGTGACAGAAATATAGTTCGAAAAGAATAAAGAAGAGTATTTGCAATTTTTACTCGAATAGTTTTTTTTTTTTTTTTTTTTTTTTGTCTGAATTCAAATGAAACTAATGGATTTGTCTTTCTTGAAATGCAATACATGCGAAAGGCAGGTTTCACTGAATTTATCTGATGCACTAATGTTATTTTAATCATTACGATTTATCTCACTAGGATCTGAAAAATTGATGAAACATATTTTGCATTATGTATGCGTCGGTACTCACATAACATTAATTTTCAAATTGGCTCACAATAAATGTCTTTGTTTAAGTTGATGTTTATCAAATTAGAAATTAAGATTTTCCTTATCTCTAATTCAACGACGTTATTAAATAATGTTGCTTAATTATACAAAATTATGTAATAAGTGCTATGATAACGATAGAATGGGTCATTAATAATAAAGGAATGCAGGAGAAGATCAGGTAGATAAGGATTCATCATTCGAGCTGAGTTTTAAATACGTAGCTGTACTTTGTAATATTTTTTGTGCTTATTTTGTATTGCTTCACTATATTTCGATGTCGCTTATCAATATAATTATAGTCTCCTATTATATTCGAGTAAGGTTAAGGGATTTTTCCAAAAGATTACATTGAGAAAAAATAACGAAATATATCCCGTATTTCTCTTACATGTTTACTTTTTATATTAATTACAAAATGCAAATAATTTTTAATTTTTAAGTAATATAAAAAAATGTCATAAAAATCTCTTTTAAATAAATTCTCCTTTAAATGGAGAAATTAAGTTGCTAATTTTTAAAATAGTTAAAAAAATTTCTTTCACAAAACTTTTCTTTCACATGTAATATATTTTAATGTTTACTAATGTAGAACATTGATCTTACTTTTGATAATAAAGAAATACTATTTTCAAAACAAAATCAATTGTAATATGTAAAAAGACTAACATCTACTTTCTCTCTGTAAACTTGCTATTATCTATCGTAATTACAATTCTTGCTGTACTGAATTGCTATACTGTATTCTCGCAATCACTTGCTATGCTCCATTATTTCGTAATCAAATATATACAATATTTTCGATTTCTTATAATTGATTTTGCTGTTGTGCAGCGAAGCTCTGCTCTTTGTATGCTCACTTGCAACCGCAGTTATGCAGCAGTCATCACCTATTGCTTCAAAAACAAAATACAAAAAAAAAAAAAAAAAAAAAAAAAAAAAAAAAAAAAGAAAACAATTATCCACGAGAAAAATGTTCTCTATGTGTACATAATGCCATAAGCCAAACTAGGCTAATGGACGAATAGCAAAGTGGCACTAACAGTAGCTACTTCTGTTATGGCCTTCTGTTATTTCTTTCTTGTGTGAATAGCAAAACATTGCACAAGAAGCGTGAAAATCCAAATTAACATATGGATGATATAGATCTGGGTAATTGTCTCGTGGTATAAGCCATGAACAAAAGAGAATGAAGGCGAAGGATCTTGATTAAGTGCACATTTATAAACGTCAGAAGTGTTGGTGAAGTTGCAAGCTTGCCGTCACGTTAAGGGCAACTCAGCCCATGCAAACAGCCTCGAAACACGAAGGTCGGGGATCGTTGTCACTAAAGAATTCGCTAGTCTAGTGTGCATGTGTGCGTGTGTGTTTATTTATGTGAGTGCGTGCATGTAAGAATACGCTTGTTGTTTACGAGGGTTTCGGATTAAAAGAAACGTAATGTCGTATCATCGTAATATACTTCAGTATAACATCGCAAAAAAAAAAAAAAAAAAAAAAATCCGGAAGCGCAATAGCGGAGGCACTAGACGCTACGATGTCTTACGCATGGCCCGCTTGTAAAATTGCAGGTGATAGCTGTGATATCAATCTTGTTTATCGTGCTGTCGACGATAGCGCTGACCCTCAACACCATCCCTAGCATGCAAGTATATGACAAGGAAGGTAACATCCAAGATAATCCTCAGTTGGCGATGGTCGAGGCTGTCTGCATCACTTGGTTTACGCTTGAGTATGTACTGCGCTTCAGTGCCTCACCCGACAAATGGAAATTCTTCAAGGGTGGACTGAACGTCATCGACTTACTAGCTATAATGCCATATTTTGTATCGCTTTTCCTTGTTGAAACGAACAAAAATGCCACCGATCAATTCCAGGACGTAAGGAGAGTCGTACAGATATTTCGTATTATGAGGATCCTAAGGATCTTGAAATTGGCGAGGCACTCAACGGGTCTCCAAAGTTTGGGCTTCACCCTAAGAAACTCGTATAAAGAGTTGGGCTTGCTGATGCTCTTTTTGGCAATGGGTGTATTGATATTCTCGAGTCTGGCTTACTTCGCGGAAAAGGAGGAGCCCGGGACCAAATTCATAAGCATTCCGGAGACGTTCTGGTGGGCAGGCATTACCATGACCACCGTTGGCTACGGCGACATTTACCCCACCACGGCGTTGGGCAAGGTCATCGGTAGTGTGTGTTGTATATGTGGTGTCCTGGTAATCGCGTTACCCATTCCCATTATCGTCAATAATTTTGCCGAGTTCTACAAGAATCAGATGAGGCGGGAAAAGGCTTTGAAGAGGCGCGAGGCTCTCGAAAGGGCGAAACGCGAGGGCAGCATCGTGTCTTTCCATCATATCAATCTGAGGGACGCCTTCGCCAAGAGCATGGATCTAATTGACGTCATCGTCGATACTGGTGAGATATCTTACTTTATGTAGCCTAAAGTTTATTCTTAACAAAGTTTTATTTTATTTTATTTTTCTTTCGTTTATCCTTCATTCTTTGTTTCGTTAGTATTACTTTATATATCCTGAACTTATATCGGGAAAAATTATTGGAGAATGTTTCATATAGTTGAAAAAAAAAAAGAAAATTATAATAACATTATCCTCTAAGCGTTTAATAAGTTTAAGCTTTTCACTTAACGCAAACTTACTTGCAAAAGATACAAAATTGATATACATAATAATCTTTCTAATTGAAAATCATGTATTTTCTAGATAACTGTTACAAATGATATATCTAACATATTTTCTTCGTTCTACTACTATTCTAAATTAATTATTGTCATTTTTATTTTATTACGCCTTAAATGCAGTTAAATTATAAATAAAATTTAAAATTATAGGTATATATTATTATGAAGTAATACTTTTTTTTATTTAAAAATATTCCGTAATTTTAAACGATTGACACCATGATAACATTCTTCAACTTATTTTTTCGTGATAGTCATAAAAATTATGAAATTTTTATCGATTTTTTATTTAAATTTTTAAATAAATTCATAAATCCAAAGCAACTGATTCTATGATAAAAGCAATCATAATAAATTGTATTATCAATTTAATCTTTTTATGAAATCTTTTATTATTATATTACACTGAAATTTAATAGATTTACATTAACAATTTAATACAAATAATTTTTGGTCTTGCAGTGCTTTTATCTTTATTAATACAAAATATTAATTTAACATAATATATCTCATGTAAATAAATTATTTTTCATTTCAATTAAAAAATACCAAAACGGCTACTCAATTCATTAATACTTAATGCAATTTAAATAAAATTTTTATATTACAAGTTAAGTGGGGCTATTTTAGACATATATATTTGTTATTAATTTAATTTGCTTTCAAATACATTATTTTCAAATGTAATGAAATTCATTATATTTATTTTTAATTTTTACTTAACATTTTAGAATTAAAAAATATATTATTAAATTTTTTCAACTTGTCTATTAAATCTTTATATAATTTTTAAATTACTTTAATATTATTTAAAATTTACATAAATTCACATTAAAACCTATCAATTTATTATAAAAACAAATATAATAATTAATATCAATTTGTATAATAAGAATTTTTAATTAAATTTTAATGTATAACATTCGTAATAAAATTTATACATTATGGATAAGATGAAATTATCGCGACAACCAATTTATACAGTTATGTACAATTTATCGAGTTTCCTATAACTTTTCATCTAACACGGTATACTTTCACTTAATCACTAGCATTCATATTTTAGTATAATTAATAGATTAATTGTATTAGATTAAATACAGCTTCATAATTTTGAAACAAATTTAACACATGTTTGATTGCTAGCGTTTAATTAGTCTAGTAAATAGTTTAAATGTTCGTTTTGTTTAAATTATTAATAATATAAATCTTTCTAAATGTTGTCAAATATATTTTATATTTTCCATATTATTATAATAATAGTCAGCTAATTGATATATCGTCTGTATTATTAACGAGTCTCATCAATTTCCTATTTAAATTTATCTGTACATCAAGAATTCTTTTCAAATCTTTTAAATAACACATGTTAGATTATAAAACTACGTAGATTTTATAGGAAACAACGTGAAGAATTAAAAATAATCATAAAAGTATTCCAATAATAATGTTACTTGATTGTAAAATCCATTATTTAATAATATAATATTGGTGTAACAAAACGTAACACAGAACGTTTTCCAATAATTAATTTCAATCAATTTAGTTTCGACAATGATTATTTAAAAATAATTTTTAATGTTTTTTATTATATTTAAATCTGTAAAAAAAAAAAACTTAATAATAATATTTTATTTTTATTACTCATGAGGTAATTTTTCAGTTTTAAGTTTTCTTATGTACATTCTCATTGGAAGAATAGCAAAATATGATAGTCATTTTTTAAAAAAGATATATTCTTCCAGATAAGCTATAACTTTTAACTATTTATGAATTTATTCTTCTTCTTCGTTGTGTTTGATGTTAAGTAAATACTATTGAAAAATGACGTATTCAGTACCCTCGCTTTTATTGTTGGATTACCATTTAAATCGTTCTATGTTGCTTAATGTTACTAAAAAATATCTTCTTTTATCAATTGTTAAAGTACATAATCGATGAAATATTAATATTAACTGATACATTAAAATTGGTTCTTTAAATACAAAGGGAAAAAAATTTATTTGTAATACTTTTATAATGATACTTTTAATTTATCAAAGTCTAATTGGATGTATTGTGTATTGTATTTACGGTGTATTGTAATAATGTCATCATTAGTTTAGTTGTGAACTGTATTTTTTTTAACAGCGCCCCAATTCTTCATATGTTGCAATTGTTCTTTTAAATTATTAAAGTCAATCGAGAACTGTATTAATAAAAAGATACACGATTAACTCAATACTCTGTAAAGAAAAAGAGTCTATAGCCTTAAACCCCAGAATTTAAACAAAGTATTAAGCGCCACGCTATATTTAACGTAAAAATTAGTAGATTTTTCCTTTCAGCTCGAATCGCGAACGGGATTGTCGACCGAGGTAAACATCCGTTAATGCTGCTGCCGAATTTTAACGCTGCACACACGACTTTGAAAGAGCATCGCTGTTGTACGGCCAAATTATTCTATTTAGTGTTGCTACAGATGACAAACTATTTTCGCGTATATGTGTTTAAGCGTGAATGCACATGTGCAGAGAAATTTTTTTCAGTAGTTTCAAAAAAAAAAAAAAAAAAAAAAAAAAAAATGCAAAGATAAAAAGTAAAGTATTATGTACAATGATTATAGAGCTTCGCTCTTTTCGTATCAAAAGTATGAAATATGATTTATGGCTACTGTGTGTAATCACATATATTATGGTAAAATAATAATTTGACGTAAAAATCTGTAAAACAAAAAAATCAGTTTTGAAAAATGAAAGAAAAATTTTCTCCGTGCAAATATATTTTTTTATGCATATGAGTATGGATTTATGAAAGTTTTTTGCTGAATTCAAAGTGTAGCACTCGATACAGAATTGATTTATGCAGTTGCGCAGCATCTGCATCAGCGCACGCAGCGAACCGCAGCTCTTCTCAATTTCGTTCAATCATTTCAACGTTCCCATCATGACTATACGAAGTAACAAAAGATAAATGTATATGCTTCATATAGTTTACTTTGCTATTTTCTATTATTTATCACAATTTTTATCACGTATTTCTGCTATTTTAATGGTCGATTATATATGAAGTGAAGTTGCGAATCACTTTTCATTTATATAAATATCCAATGATCTATACAATTCAATAAATACCCATATATTTTTAATCAATAATAATTAAGCGATTTGCTTAAAACATTTGTAAAATAATTGTTTCGTGAGATTGAAGCAGGTAACATTAACTGCTTGTGTTGATTATCAATACTACAATATAGAAGTAAATAGCTTTTAACATTCAATTTTGTAATAAAATAATGATGTGAATTACGGCACGTGTCGATTTATTAAAAGAATGGAAAGGATATTTATAATACGCGTCATATTTTTAATATAAATTGGATATAAAATTATTGAATATAATATCAATTTATTATTGCATTGTAATAATTATTAATATTAACAACACTGTCTAGTCATTGAAGTTATTCCAATGAAAACTTAAGTAAGTATATTCGATTATAAAACAAAAGTTAGAAACATCTATTCATTTGAAGCATAATATTAAAGCAAAGTTCTGAGCATTCATTCTCATCTTTATTTTCTTTGCATCATGTTTTACACTGGAGCAGCTTCATGAACTCTAAGCCGTTGGTAATAAAAGTAATTTATTAGGGGCTCGCCCTTCCGCTCGCTCGCTCGCTCGCTCGCTTATTCGCAAGTAGAAATACGAAGCTGCTAGGCGACCGTCGTCAAAGCCATTTTCTCTCTCTCTCTCTCTCTCTCTTTCTCTCTCTCTCTCACACACACACACACACTCTCTCTTTCTTTCTCTCATTCGCTCTCTCTCTCTCTCTCTCTCTCTCTCTCTCTCTCTCGTGAATAGGAATGAAAATACAGAGGCTGGGACGGCCCAAGTCATTCAAAAAATCGTCTCTTATGCACGCTGACAGTGGCCTCATGGCAAAGTTTCGGGCTTGCTCGCCTATCTGGGTTTTTAGGTTTACGAGTGCGGATTGAAAATCATCACGGTAAGATTAAGACCGCTAGCCGACCATTCGCGAATGTCGACTTAGTCAGCCGCGTGCATGCGTACGTGCGTGCCTTTGCGAAATTGCGTGACACTGGGCATACGACATTTTAGCCACGTGCTCGGGTAGTGGAGGAGGCCAAGTGCACAGGTATTATTATCTGTTTGCTTCAAGTTTCGAATTGGAAAAATGTTTTTTCTGTCTATTTATGCTTATGATTCTGATAAATTTGGAAATGTTGTGATTTATAACTACTATGTTTACTTTGTGCTCTATTAAATGAAAACACGTCAATTTTCGTTGCACTTTACAACCGACTTGATTGAACAATCTTACTTAGTACTTAAGGATCCACATTGAAATAGCTTACGTTTATTTTATCAAAACGATCGAGCAAATAGCTGCATTTTTTAATTTACGTTTATATCATTTTAAGAATAAATTGTCGCGATTTCACTTTACTCGGCTCCTTACGTAATAGAAGCCATATTAACTAGTTACAATTGAACTTATTCACTCAGTATAATTACGCCACTAGAAGCAAATATCAGAGCGATAATTTTAACCTTATAATAGGCAATTTATATTTACTGGCATTACAGTAATAACTATATAAGATGATTATGTGTAATTATTTATATGTTTATGTCCAATTGCATCTGGCCTTATAATTGCTTTTAAAATCAAATTAACTAATTAATCATAAATATGATTTTTCAATAAAGAGCAAGTTGTATAATTTTAAAATAACTTCTTAAAGTAACGAACAAAGTTTTAAGTTTTATATAAATTAGAAAATAATTGTGAATGAGATGCACGGTTGTTCTGGCTTCACATTTCTGTAAAGTTACGACAAAATAAATGTGTTTAATAACAGAATGTCAGAGGACATAAAATATGTATACATTTTAAATTGTAGTTAAAAAATTAATTGATTTTAAAATAAACTCAGGCTATATATATTTCGTTAATTTTAAAATGGCTATATGCAAGCTATTTAAATATAAACAAAATTAGAAAATTTCATATTTTGCGCATTAAAATTTAAGATACGTCAATTTAAAGTTAATAAAAAAAGTTTTCTATATTTTACATCGCATATGGACGAAAAGGTAGATTTTGCACTTCGAAACTTCAAGAAAGTCATGAGAAGTATATTTTAGATTTGAATGAAAGTACTACTAGAGAATAATCGAATCATTTCACACAGATTTCAATGATATTTCGTGAATTTAAATAATCGTGATACAATCGCTGCTGCATTTTTACTTAAAATTAAGTAATAAAGCTTCTTTCGGTACAACTTGTATAACAAGTTTTAAATTTTAATAAATAGTTTTTTTAATAGACAATTAATTTGCCGAGCGTGCAAGAACGTTTCTAAAAATTTAAATAATTTTCTAGTCTATTTAGTATCCGTATTACGGTAAACAAATATTTCGTTGCGAGTTAACATAAAAGACTACGAGAGAAATATTTTTGCTTCAACGCGCTTCAGAGAATTTAATTTTGTTTTCATTTATCTAAAGTTCGTCGTCACTTTATTATATTTTATTTGTAAAATTATTCATCAACTTAATAAAAATGATGAACGATATTTTATTGTGAAAAGCAATTTTTATTATATATTTTGTCGATAATAACGTAGACTTAAAATGCTGATAGCTTTGTAGATGTATTTGCTAATGCAATGGCTTATGAATGAATATTGCCGAAAGTGATAATGTAGGGGAGAAAATTTTTAAGAAAAAGAAATTATTTTACATAACGAAACAAAATATTAAAGTAAATTCATAAATCCTTTTATCGATCCTTAGCTATAACTTTAATCAATAATTTTTATAAATTATTAAATAAAAATATTGTAATCATGTTTTTACTAATATGTTTCTCATTCGTATATCTAGAACATCTTTTTAAATAAATTACTAATTTTATTTGAGCCTCGCTTGAAATATGAGGGAAAAAGCGTTTCTCTCGTATTAAGCAATTGACAAACGGTTTATATATCAAATTTGAAGTTGATTAATTGGCGCCTCTGCAACGTTACTCATAAAACCTCGATTCAACTTGCATTCGATTTTAATGACTATACCTCATCTATTAAGTCAAATTCTTATAATTTATTTATTCGGTTAAATAATTGTATTATGTTAAATGAATCGGTTAAATTTGTTAGGAAGCCAATGGTCTTATCGAACGTAGTATGCTTTTACAGCGCTTGACTCATTCTCATATATTGCGGCAGTTAAGCCAATGAATGTCAAATCCGCAGCTGGCTTAGTTAATCCGAAAAACCACAATATCAAAGGCAGATACAATAATTGTATAATAGCTTCTTGCAATCCTTACTCACTCGACTGTACGTCGGCCATGGAGCCTACACACGCCTGTATAAAAAATGCCACGAGCCATTGATCGACCACAATTGTACGGGCTCGTCCAGCCAACAACGCACGTAATATATAAATGAGATAAAAAGAAAGCAGAAAAAGATAGAAAAGACATAAAAGCGAAACCATGCCACGCTTGTATCACCCGCACGCTTGGTGATACGCGGAAGCTGATCAGGCCCGTGCGCCCTCTTTCTTCTCCCCAGGTCACAACATGTCGGGCGTCGACGGGAACAGCACCGAGGGCGAATCAGCTTGCGGTCGGGGCCCCGCTCAGACTGGGGCCGGCTGCTATCGAAACTACGAGCATTACGGGCCCTCGAAGCACAGGCGAAGTAACTCATCCTGCTTCCCCAATCTCCAGAACGACCTTTCAAACACGCCTGACAGCCCCAACAGGCGGCTTCTCGACTTTGCCCAGAACATATCCAGCAACCAGGCGGACCATTACTATCACGACCAGGTGCCGAACCAACAAATCAACCAGTCTATCACTACGCCCAGCGTGAGTTTTTCTTATTTCTTACTTGCGATCGCTCTTGTCGAGAATAGCGTCCCAATTACGGCGCTTCGTGCAATTATTTTTGATCGAACGAGGGATTTAAAGCTGCTCTTGCAGTGGTTCCCAGTAGGTCTTACACATCGGTTAATAGCCTTTGAGATCACTTACCCTTACGTTGAAGTCGTGGATTATTTATCATATTTAGTACAGCATACGTTAATTATGAGAAAAATCTGCGTAAATGTAGTAATACGATTTAAATGAGCGCATATAAAAGAAGATAATTTCTATCGGCACTCGGCTCTCTATTAACATACAAACTGCTCATGTAATTATCAAAACTTGATTCAAGCAATGATTATATCGAATGAAGTAAGTTGATTAGTAATTAATATTAGATGACGTTCGAATTATATTTTATTATCCTCTACCATTACTTATTCTAGAAAAATTATATATCTCGAAATAATTTTATTATTATTCTAAATACGCACATTCGTGTTAATGAATATATTTTTAATAAAAGACATCCATATGTAGAATGTGATTGATTTGATGATAAATATATAATGTTTGCTTCAATTTTTATAAAAGAAATTTCATAACATTTACGAAGAATGTGATAGAATTTAAAAGATAAATATTTAATTAACCAACTATATAAGCCAATATCTCAAATACAGCTTTTAAAAGAAATTTGCGTACAAAAATTGATACAAAAAAAAAAAAAAAATGAAGAATATTTTCATAAAATAATTCATCTGTATTGTACAGGTAAATGTTAGTTCCTGTTAGATTCAAATTTTATTTGAATCTGTTATATGACTACTTGGGACTACTGGCAGAGCTGCAATTGTATTAGTTATCCAAATTTCTGCCTCGTAAATTTTAATCACTATACTACAGTAATTTATGAACCTTGATTAGCTTTGATAAAAAAAAAAGAAAAAAAAGATTATTACTCTTTTACTTCATATTTAATTTTTATATTAAACATATTGATAAAAAAATTATTATCTTAAAATATTAGTTTTTCATCGCATTAGAAGCAATCTTACTTATTTCTTATACTATAAGATAAAATAAAATTTTAAAAACAAATGTTGTTCTATCAAAGTCGTAAAAAATAATGTTGGTAAAATACATGGCTTTTATTGTTAAATGCGTTATTAAAATAACTCGTTTTAAAAAGAAAAAGACTTTAACTCTACCTGAAAATTGCAATGAAGTTCTTCAATTTAATAACTTTTGTACGAGGCAGAAATAAGTGCTAATAATAGAAAATTGGTAACTGCTTCATTTTATCGTTCTATTTGTGGTTTTTGCGTTTTGCATCGGATTGACAACATGTGACTACATACTTAAGTGTTTGTCTTAACATAATAATTAATGCAAGTATAATTCATCAAAAGATTTCACTTTTAACAGCACTAGGTCCGCACATCGGTTTATCTATTGAATAATTAATGTTTATAGAATAACATTTTTTTTATTAAAATACAATTTAACTGCGATTGTGAGCGTGGAAAAATAAATTTTCAAAAAAATTGCCGAAGAGTTATAGTGCGTTTCTCCAAACTTATAGATACCTGTACTTTATTATATTTATTTCGTCAAATTTAGAAGATTAATAATTCATAAACCAATACTGATTTATTATAGTTTTAATGAACTATTTACGAATAAATAAGTGAAAGTAATGTAGGACATAGATACTTTTTTACACTAATTAATAGGAAAGTAATTCATACAAAGATTCTTTTTCTCTTTAGCAATACAAAATACCTTCAAACAATATATATATATATCATAAAAATTCATTTGATATTATTAATGCGCAATGAAATAATTTTTTACATTAATTAATTTTTACAATTAAAATGAAAAAGCATATATGTTTGCAATAATAAAATAATGCATAATAAAAATAATACATGTCGCATCGATATAAATTTAAATTACTAATAAAAGTACAATATTAAAAAAGTAGTATATTCCTATCTGTCCTACATTATTTCTATCTTATAGCATATACTATATTTCGTTCCACGCTTATGTTTTCAGTTAATAATCTGTCGGCCAAACTGCGTTATCAGTTATTTAATAAAACGAACGTACACGCGTACACAAAATAAAAAATGTTCCTAAATAATTCGGATTTTACAAATGCGGGAACGCGCTCGAGAACACTAACACGCACGCGCACAAGCACATAAAGGTACACTTTTCAGGCTGGTGAAGGCATGAGAAAAACTCGCGGTGGTATCCTCAAAGTCTCCCAATAACGAAACTAAGAAGTGCGTGCGTCAAGCCGTTCTAAGAGAGACAAGACGCGTCATATAAGGAAACAAGATATTGGGGAGAATTATAGATTATTACTATAATTACACGGTACTTAATTAAAAATGAAGAAAAAAAATTAAATTAGAGGAGTGTAAGATACTCCTAAATTAATGCAAATTTTCGTATCAAAGCTCTAATTATTGCATTCGATACGAGGGAAGATAATTAATGTGAATAAGTGTCCTTGTGATGCTGAGAAACGAAGGTACGTTTACTTGTAATAAAATAATACCACCTTGAGGGTCTTGTGAAAACCATATAAGCTTTATGATAAATTTTTGATAAACTTACCCTCGTAGAACAAAAAATTTTCATTTTTCTTTAAATAATTTTAAAGACTTTTTAGGTTAAAAAAATTATTTGTTGATAACTGAAAAAATATGTAAATAAGAAAATTATTTTAAAGAATGCTAGTACAAATAATATTATCACATTATGGTTATAAATATTTCATTATTATCCGACGAAATATATTTTATAGTTTTATTCTCGATAAAGATATTTTATCACGTATAAATTCATAATAATTATACAGTTAACTCATTTTACTGGCTATCTCTTATAAATAAATTAAATAAATTATTTCATAAATTAAATAATGCTTATATAAAATTAATGAAGATCGTTTAAATAGAAGTTTTCAAAATATTAAAATTTCGAATAAATTGAAATAATAGCAACTTGAAATTACATTTAAAATTTGTTTAAATTTTTTTAAATATTAATGTATTGAAGTGTACTAATAAATATTTTTGAATTTTTTTTAAAAAAAAATTTACTTTCGAGTATTTATGAATATATACGATCGATATTACTACATAATTTATTACTACATATATACCTAACATTTTTATCCAGAAAATTGCAATTTAATTCAAATACTACACATATTTAATATAATGTAATATTTGGATATAATAAGAAGTAAGTGTTTCTTAAAAATATAATTATATCCTTATAGATATCGTTAAAAATAAAATCTTTTAAGTTGCATGTTTAAATAATATTAAAATACAACACAATGTATAAATGAAATTATGAATTAAAAATATTAATTTATAAAATGACAATTTATAATTTTTATAATTTAAAATAAATTTTAATGTAATTTTTATCTATTACGGTTAGTGATAAATATATAACTGATGGATACATGTATTAATTACGTTCAATAATTAATATTTGATACTAAATTTTAATATTGTGATTTAATCATAGATATTAAATATTTATTAAAGTTTACTATATTCACTGCATTCGTTAATGTTAAAAAGATATATAATTAAAATTTTTAAGTGTAAAAACACCCGTTGAAATAAATGACCTAAAATTAAAAAATTGATGTCTAAATAAATCAAATAGATGACACATTTACGTAATAAAATTTTTTAAATTGATATCGCTACTGCTCGATTTTCTTATCAAGATATGAATTTAATAGTAATTGATGGATTAAAAAATTAATAATATCTTTTATATTTTCATGATTAAACCAGAATAGACTAGAAAATTTTTGAAAATGGGCTCATTCAACAAACTTGAAACACATACCATTTTTTAATTAATTTTTGTGTTTTTCATCTATTCTCAAAGGGATAAGGAAAAATCGAAGATATTAAATTTATAAAAGGTCTGACACAAGATTCTCAAGTGCTAAAAAAAATTAGTTTTCGAATTTTTGAAAGATTACAAAAGAGAAATTAAACATATAGTAAACAAGCTTCGGCTTCAAGTGTATATATAGCATGCGGTACGTATCTCCCAAATTAATTTCTTTAAAAATAAAATTATCTTTTAGAGTTATCATTAAAAATATAGCATACATTAGAATTCGCATACTTTGCAATTTATCACGTGTAATATAATCGCTGCACTTGAGTACTCTTAAGCATTATTCCAATATCCCAATAAAAGGCAAAAAAATGTAAACTGGTAGATCACTTTCTTCGTATATTGATCCAATATCACGCACGTAGCTTAAGATAGTTTCCTCATCCGAATATGATGTAATTTAAATTGCTGAAACCAGTAAAGCACGAGTTCCTCATCTTACATGCGTACATATCCTAAATATTCCAATAAACTGCTTCATTAGTTCTTTGCCCTGCTTATGCATTAGAAAGATTAAATTAGGGGTGACGAAATTTTTTCTATGCGGAAAAGGCACTAAGCACAAACACTCGGCTGGCGATATAATTATATACGGAGGGATAGATTCGAAAATAAGAAGGAAAATTTGAGGTCACAGGTAGACTGTTTACTTAAAAAAAAAATGCTTGGAACTGATTGATAACTGATTTTTAAAGAAAAAAAAATTATACAGTCAATATCATCCACTTGAAATTTACTCTGAAAAAATTTATTCAGATGAGATATAGACAGAAAAAAAATAATCTGAGCTTAGAAAAATTCATAAAAATTAAATATTGAATAACTGCCATCAATAAATATAGCAATTATTTCAGTACGCGTTATTTGTTGAATATTTAGTGTTTACTGCGTTAATGAATAAGTAACATTGTAAACTGTACATATACGTAATAATATATTATATTTATTATAAATATAAAAATATAATTATTATAAAATTATAAAGCTAATATTTTTATTAGCTTAATCTATCGTTACAGGAAAAAATAGGTATTTTTAAATAATAGTGTCAGTATTAATAGAAAATTTATTAAAAGATTTTAAATAATTTTATTAATTTTAATACGTAAACTTTTAATAAAAATACTTTCCAAAATAATCATAAAAATTTCAAATTAAATTATAAGTTCTTTTTTTAAATAGAGTATTCATACTTTAAACTTCAATCGGATACTTATTGCTTTTATAAAAACAGTGTAATTTAATTACTGTTATAGAAACTAACTGATTGCAAAAATAAGGAATTTGATTTAAACGCGTGAAATTAATATAAATTTAGTCTCTGCTAAGTTTTCTTAATATAAAACTAGTCTTTGCAATTCCAAGCACTTTTTCAACAGTTGCAAGTGACCATTTTACGTTGAATTTGAATTTCAGTTATAACCTCTTACCTTACAGGGACGGAAATCGATACTCGACGAAGACCTCTAAAGGCGAAAGAAAGTTCCGAGCGACAGGAAATCCTAAGAACAAGACACAAACGGAATAATATGGAAAGAAAAAGTGAAATGAATAGGTAGAGATAAAGAAAGGGCAAAGAAAATAAAGCGGGAAAAGGGAAGAAAAACGAGTTAACACTCAAGTAAACCCAGACTTATATATATTTTAGGAACAATGAAATTAAAAGAAATTTTTTGATTGCCGTACACAAAAAAAGGAAAATGAAAAAAGAAATAAAGGGTTACTCTCGTGCCTCAATTAAGATGCATTCATTAATCCAAATTGCAGCTACACAGTTCAACTGTTAGTGTTGAAACAGCCTTTTATAATTCTCCACTTACCATCACAACATAATAACACTCGTTACGAAAATTCGAAAATACATTAAACAATTTTAAAATAAAAAATCTACAAGCATAAATATATAATAAAACTAGATGAATCTATAAATCATTAGTTACTCTATTCGCCGGTGACTAATAAACCAATGTCTACGATTATGTTAAGAAAAATGGGAACGAAATTATAAACAGATAAACAAATAAACAAAAATTGCCTAGAAAGAGAGAGAGAGAGAGAGAGAGAGAGAGAAAACATTCGCTAATAATTATACAAAAACAAAAGAAAAATAGTCTTATAAATATAAAAAATTTAGTTTAGATTATGCGGAATAAAGGATAAAGGAAAAGGCACACGTGAAACGAGAAAAATTATTCAAAATTGTATTAAAATTATAAGAAACAAAAACCGCGCACGATCTTTCCAATGATACAGAAAAACTTTATCTATATATATATATATAGAGAGAGAGAGAACTTATAAATGCATACATACAATGCATACAAATTATAAAAAACAAAAACCGCGCACGATCTTTCCAATGATACAGAAAAACTTTATCTATATATATATATATAGAGAGAGAGAGAACTTATAAATGCATACATACAATGCAATAAATGCATACATTCCCAAGTGATTATTATAAATTTTTTTTGTATTTTATGTTCAATTTAGGAAGTAAATGTAGAATAGTAATATAATCGATCTATTCTATATCAAATAAAAAAGTGATAATATGTCAGTGCAATTTAATATAATTATAATATAAGAAAATTTTGGGCAATTTTTAATTTAACAGCTATGTTATTATTCTTAGAGCTTCGAAATCTGATATATATATTTATTTATATAATTAGAGAACTAATGATTTTATTAAATTTGAAAAATATGAATTTAAAAAGATTATAAAATATTAAATTTGTAAATTATTATTGTTATAACTAGTATTATACAACATAATTAAGGGGGATACGTACTGGTAATACCTGAAATACTATTATTTTAATATTTACAATCTTTTTATATATAAAATACGAATACTGCCTTTTATTAATATATTTAAAGTATTAATATTATTAAAAATTAATATTAATAAATATTTAATATTAATATTTATTAATATATTAACAACATGTTTATTTATCGAATAAAATTTTGTTGTCTTATTTTTTGCGTTCATAAACACACGAGAATATTTTACACATAAATTGTAGATTGAACTTCTTTTTTAATATAAGTTTACGACGAAGCGTATTTTTCGAAATAAAAGATTAAATGTCGTACTATTAAAATTACATCAAAATTAATATAAAATTTTAGCGTTGTATATAATAATAAAAAATTAATTACAAATTACTGTATGTCACTTTCAAAGCATTTGAAAATCGTTTAATTTTCCTTTTAAAACGTATTTTGTTTAAATTATAAAATACTTTGGAATAATATTTGGTAAATTTTATTTGAATATTATTGTTATACTATATGTTATGACATATCCATTAATAAAGAGCTTTAATGATTAATTTTTAATATAACAAATTCACGTTAAAAAGCTTGAATATACTTATTCCTAGTAAATTAAACATTGTTGTTAAATTGTACGAAGTAAATTAATATTGTCTAAAATTTTATTACCTCACTGTATTTATTAAATAAATATAATTTCTGTGAATGAAAGATCTTTAAAGTGGAAATAAGCACACAAGTTTAGAAATTTAAAAAAATCAAGTTATATAACAGTTGATAAAAATCTATATTATAATAAAACTAGTTATAATATCATTAGTAAAATATTATTGTAAATTGGTATCATTATAAATTGGTATACAAAATTACAAAACTCATCGCAATTTTTATTTATAATACTATAACAATTCTACAAAGCATATAAAAAAGCACATGGAAACTTTATCAGTTCAATCACTCGATTATTCACATTTATAAAGGTTATTACAAAAATATTTAAAAATGCAAAGATGCGTATTCCAGAAAATCACAAAAATAAATTCAAGGGTCAACGCTTGTTTATTTCATCGTTCTGAATAATCGTATAAAATGTAATATATATTGACGATATTTAAATCATTCAATTGCAAAGAATCTTTTCTATTCAATCGAAAAATATTTTAAATACGATATATACCAGCCATTGCTGCCTTTGATGAAAAGCATTTTCCAGATTGGTGGCCAATCTATAAATTATTAGAAAAGCATTTCTTCATAAACAAAATTCGATGAAAATATGAGATGATCGTCTAAATCAAATGCATCCAAAAATATTAATTTAATATTGATCAATGCACATAGTCTGCAAAATTATTTGATTATTATTTATTTAGTTAATATAATAAGTGCAACGTTTTAAACTGAATACGTGATAGATTTAACAATAAGTTGTTAATACTGTAATAAAGGGTCATTTGTCCCAAATAAGTTAAATAGTAAGATACGAAAGTCGTGTTGTAATCAATGTATAACAAGTTGGCTCTTTTTAAGTAAATAAAGTGAGAACGAACTTGAAAATGAAGTCGTCAAGAATTTTTCTTTACTCCGTTTGACGATCCTTTCCAATAAAAATTTACAATTTTCTTTTGAAATTCTCTTTGTGATGCTTTTTTCGATTATTTCATTGCGCCTCTTCACTATTCTCTCCTATTTCTTCCGAGGATCTACAAAGGCTGAAATCTGCGTAGGGCTGCATTGCAGCTCACCGAAGAAAAGTCAACAAGTTGCGGTAACATATTTTTCGTTCTCTTTTGACAATTTTTTACTTTTACTTTTTCTTTTTTCTTTTTATTGCCGTCTATTTTTTCCCCTCCTTCTTACACCCTTTATCACCCGTTCACTTGTTCATTCACCTTAAATCTCTCTCTCTCTCTCTCTCTCTCTCTCTCTCTCTCGCTCTTTGGATCGTTTTAAAGATTATGTCGTCTTTTGCGGATACATTTTTTCGAAACGATGAAAGCGCTTTCGATGCGTCTTTGATGACATAATGGTGCTCAACGATACAATAATGTGAATGAATTTTTTTTTAACACATAAGAGAATTAATTAGTATGCCTTCAATGAATTTTCTATTTGCATATCAAATTCAATTGATTCGACTTATACGAATTTCATTTCCACTAATTAATACGGATAATCTTCTTTTTCCGTCTCACTTTCATAGGCTATTTATTCCTTTTATTATTATGTGAAATCACATTCATTATATTCGCATTGTGAATGAAATTAGAACAGAGAAACGCACTTGACTTGAGAAACAATAATTGTCTTACTATTTGTACTGCTTTAATATTTCTAGAACTATATAATAAAATTTATTTATGTGCAAATATAATTAATATAAAAAATAAGGCTTTATTTTTTGCGTGTAGAATATTTGTTACTAATTTTTTGTTATTTATATCTATTGATAAATGTATTATTCTTTTTCAAATTTATGTAATTAAGGAGATATTACATTAAAATTCATTACGTAATTATTTAAATATATTTAATTTTTGAAATACTCCAATTAATTATGACATTGGTATTAAATATTTTCAATATTATATATATCTTCAAAATTACGAACTATAAGTTGTAATAAATAATATGGTTTCAGTAAATGTATAATTTCCTTAATACTTATGAAAATCGCTATTATTTTTCATGAAACGTTAACCGATAACATACATAAAGGTTATATACATGCTCATACGCAATTCATATGTAACACAATGGCGATTTTATGGTATTTAGATGAATAAATGGCTGTACTCTAACCCTAATCATTACAGGCATAATGTATATAACATTTGTAGGAAGAAGATAAAAAAGATAGAAGAAAAGTCAAGCAGGAATCCGACAAAATCGAGAAAATCGATGAATTTCCTAGCGAATTCGAGTGTTGCTTTTGTACTACTAAGGTATTTACATATAACAACATACAATATTTTCAACAATTGTCACTTTTATCTGTGTAAATACTTTTTCATATTGGATTTCTTCTATATCAAAAAGACAAAATTATAATTTTTTCTAATTTATTTTATAATAATTAGTTTTAATTATTTTAGTATTTACATGTTACTTTATACTTTTTATTTGTGTAATAAAGTTATAATATTTCAAGATTAAGACAAATGACGCTTTTAAAAGTTTATTTTGAAATGACGGTACCTTTTTATTTACACTACTGGACAATCATTTCTTTCTCGTTTTTTCTAGTTGTCGATTTATTTTTAACGTTCACACAATAATCAACAAAAACGTAAGTCCTTAGTTGTATCAATGAATTTAATATATTCGTTAATATTTTATTTTAGTTTTTCAACGAACATATTCACAAGGCATGTTTTCTCATAGAATAGTATTGTAAATAACATAATATTTGAATGTTACTGATGCGATACAATGCTGCTGTTTTGTGTTATTTTATAAATATGACGTATGCAGTATTGATTGCAAATAGGTTTATACACAGTTTTAAGAGTTACATACTATTACCTCTGACTTGTTTAAACTTCTATAAATTTGTAAGATAATTCATATTATTTATGCTACTTTTTAGTACTTCCCATAATCTAATCATTTCATTAGTAATTTTTCTAAATTATAATTAGTATATTTTTTAAAAGATAAATAATTAATCTGTTAATATTGTAATCTAAATTTATATTTGTAAATAGTAGAAAAGAATATTGATTCCATAATCGTTGTTTAAGTTTACAATTTTTCACATATTATAGCTTAAACAATTTTTTAATAAAAATAATAATTTGAAGATATCAATGCATTAAACTAATAGTTAAAAAATTATAAGTACCAATGTTTCAATAATAATTGAAGCATTGAACACACGAAGGATTAAATAATTATTAAATAGATATTAATAATTCAACTGTTGGCAATAATATGATCAATTTTTAAGTTAATTATATTTTTTTAAAAGAAATTCAATGTCTTTTCTAAAAGACGTGCACTGAGAAAAGTAATTGAAAGTTTATAATTCTGTTTAAATCTATCGGTATTAGAATCGTTCGTATAAAATTTTAATTATTACGTTATATTAATGATTTATTTCAACTTTAATATAAAATATACTTTCTTGATAATAATTATTCTTTCTTATATAATACAGATAAAAACGTATTTATAATAAAAATATTATTGATAAAGATAACATTATATACAAATATACAGTTTATGAAGAAGTATTTAATAAGAATTTTTTTTTACATACTTCACTATAATGCATAAAATATATTAATATAAATAACAAACGATATTAGGTAATGCTGCAACCGCATCCAACATATATAACACCGCGTAAGCTTTGTACAATTCTAATCAGTTATGTTTGCCTGTAAGCTAAAAATTCCAATAATTATTACAATATATTGAAAATTATTTTCAATGTATATGCGTGTGCGTTTGTATAAATATATATATATATATATATATATATATATATATACACATATCTTTACATACCTTTCACAACTTCTAATGCCATAAAATTACAAATCAGCAGATAAAGTTGATAAAAGTTTCACCGAATAGATTTGTATTCGAAAACTGCGTTGATTTAACTATTCATTGATTAGACATAACTGTTCAGACGGACGCATTATTAATATGTACACTCTTTACAACGAAAGAAATGCTGCTGTCAGAACTTAATACACTTAATACACGGATGCACAATGATTTCAGGAGTACAAAGAGTACAGAGACGCGGAGGATATAATGCCGCTGGGAACGAGTGATTTTAAGAACACCGTCTGCCAGGAAATGAAGTCACTACGCGACGGTAGCATCGATCAGACAACGCTCTTCAATGAGATCCAGCAACTGCAACTCCAACAGCTCCAGCAACTCCAGCTACAGCAGCTACAGCAACAGCAATTACGTCAGCAGCAACAGCAGCATCAGCAGCAGCAACAGCAGCAACAGCAACAGTTGCAGATGAATCAGCCGCTCGTAATAATGGCGGGACAGCATCCACAGCCTACCGAATCCTCCTTAGCTTTCAGCAAGAATTACAACGAGCGGGGTAGTGTCGACAGTTCGGATACCTACGCCAGCTGCCAAACCCATCCCTTTTACTCCGAGGTGCGCATTTACCTTTTACTTCAATAATTTTTTATTGATATTTCTCTCGCTTGTGTTTTGTTGCGCTGAATTATAAATTATAAACGATCGCCTACATTCTCTTGCTCTAGTTTTAGAAAATTTTCCTTGATTGTATGCGGGCCAAATGACAACACTATCGATCAATTGCTTCAAAGTATAGGTGGGGAAAGTAAATGCTGACATTTTATTTCGATAGCCATAGATTATAAATAATGGATACTCTATATCAACTGTGATGTAACGTGACAGAATTCGTTATACCAGAATCTTCAATTATATCTAAAATATTGACGAGTACTAGAAATATCTGTGAAAATCTTTTCTGAATTAAAAAACTTAATTATTATAATATTTGTTTAATTTAATGATATTGAACGCCATAGAGTTACATTTTTCAAAAAGTAAATGTACATTTTCTCATTTCTTTTTCGTAAATGAGAGCATAAAAGATAAAGATATTTATCATTTATAAGTGTTTTTTTTTATGAATAATGAAGTAGTTCTCGAGCTCATAAATAATTTAATCATCATATGTTTATATGTGTAATGTAGTGTCATCGTATTATACATATTGTAAAGAATCTTTAATTAACCCAAGCATTAATCTTCATATGAACATACAATTCGTTGTCTCATTATTATTGTCATTATCCAATTGTTGATGATAGATATTTTACAATGGACTTTTATGAATTGATAATTTATCTTTTGTAAGGATTTTTTTTTATTTTTTTTTTTTATAAAATATGTATATATTTCTTTTCCCAATGATCATTTAACTTCATAATTTTATTGCCATTTATATGTATAATTTAAGTTGCTAATTAAAAAGTAATATAATTTTCTTTCGCTTAATAAAATCATTATCTAATTCATTTGTTATAATTAATAACCAAAAGTAGCCTAAAAAATCTGTAGATTTTACGAAACTCCTTAAGATCCCTATGATTCATAATCAATAGTTTAATTATACGAATGATTTGAAAAACAATGTAACGAAGCGAAACGAAATATAACTTTACTTCACCTGTACACTTGATTTTATAATTGTATTTTAAATAAATTTAAAATCGATCGTTTCCTTATCTATGCGAGTTCTCGATAAAATCATCGAGCATCGCAATACAATCAATTTCGTGACATCGACGTAGTTTAGCCGCGCGAATGCTCGATTAAAAATAAAACCACGACAACTGGTTGGCGTCGCGCATCCGTCTCCCGATGAGAGTTAAAACTTACTATTTATTTTTGCAGAGCGACTTGACGGAAGAGACGGACAGCAATTTATATGTGAATCCACTGGAAGGGAGCACGGAAAAGAGTCATACGAACGCTTGCGTGAAGAAATCGGCGTCTGGCGAGATAACGCACGTGTCCCTCAATATCTCGCCTAGTGCCGAGTCCCTCAAGGAAATTAATGCGCCCATCAAAGCCGGCAGTAAAGCAAGTGCAAACGAGGCTATACCAAAGCACAGGAAATCCCGAATTCAACAGGTGAGACAGATAGAATTTGAGGAAGAAGGGAAGAGATCGGGCGGAGAAAGGAGAAGGCCACTTTGCTGAGTGGCCTGTTAAGCTCTTTATCAGCGATCAAAGATCGATTATTGGCTTTTTACAAAATCAAACGAACAATGAGAAAGCAGATCACTTGTTTTTTCGGCGCTATGCGTCATAAAAATTACTAATGCAAGGTCGGAACGTAATTAGCCGATGGGAGTGCTTCGTTGTAAGAGGGAATAAAAGAAGAAGAAGCGCTCATGTCAGACTTGCACTTAGTACAAGAATAGTGTAGAAAGAAGGTAGTAATCGTTGCGAATATATTGTAATTTGCATGGAATGGTAATGCCGATATAATGAAATACTCGAGTTTGATAATGTGATATCGTTTATTTTACATAAGATTAATCACTACGCAGCAATGTAATTAAAATCATTAATTATTTCTAAATCTATCTTCTGTTCTCTTTTCCTTCTTCTTCTTCATTAAAACTCATGATCTTACACTCCAGACATGAGTCATCTCTTATTAATTACGTAGACTCATTATCAATGTATTATTTTGTTAACTGTTAATGTAATTAATGTGAATATTAAATTTATCTAAATATTATTCCATTAAAAACAGAGTCAACAATTTAAATTTATCAAAACATTATTAGCATTAAAGTTTTTCACGATAGTATTTTTGCCGATTAATTTATTTTATGTCATTATTTCTAAAAACAAAAAGTCAACGAACATGCTTTGAAATATTTTTATATAAATAATCATGAAAATTAATATAAGTAAGAAATACAGTTAAAGTATTATAATCGAATGAAAAATTTAGGCATAATATTATTCCATAAATATTTTCTCTTTGAAAACAATTATCTAAGAAGAGATTGTCACTGAATAATAAAACAACAAGCGATTTTTAACGAAAATAATAACGCGAATTTTTGAATTTAATTCAAATTATATCTTTATATTCTTAGGGATTTATTTGACATTTATTTGAGTTAAATTTAATTTGAGTAATGAAGCTCAAAAATAGAATAAAATTATATAATTTCAAACAGAAAGTTAAAATAAAATTTTTTGAAAAGTATTTTAAAGTTGCACAAATGGTAAGCTGAATTCATTATATATTATAAAGTATAAAAATAAAGATTAAAAAAATAACCTTTCAATACTCAATATGATTGAAGCAAACAAAATTGATGGGGAATACGATGGTAGTGGAAAAATTTTACATTAATATGTACTGTATTGAAAACTTAAATCTGCTTATATGAATGGACTGACAGGAATGAAGATAAACCTATCAATATGTATCTAGCAAAGTGGATAATCTATTGATTTGACAATTTTCATTTATCAGCTTACTATATTAATTTTGGAATTGAATTTAAAAATTAATTTAGCTCACAAATTACGAAATTTAATTATTTTTTTTAATGAAAAATAAATGAATCGATTTATGAATTTATTAAGATTGTAGTTATACAATGAAAACATTTTTCATAAAATCTTAACTGGAAAAAAATTGTATCAATACAATTTTGATCATCAATACAATCTGATTAACCTTTTACATTGAATAATCATATAATTTATCTTATTATGATTTATTTAAAATTAATTATAAAATTGGAACCTAAATATATATAATGTCATTCGACAAGAAATTATTAATACTACATTAATACTATATTGTTACAGTGCGATTTTAATTAAAACTGAGCAAGCATATAGAAGAAGATTATTACAGTATCGATTCATATTCAATTACTTTGTCGAAGAAATAACATGATTTATTACTTTAAAATTTAACTATATTGTTATACTAATATTCTAAAAAATGTCAGAATGTAGTTATAAACGAATAGTTATATATGTATATATATTTGTTAATAATGATGATTAATATATATGAATTTTTTTTAAAAAAAAAAGTCATATTCTAATATTTCTAAAAATAATTAACGTATACATTTAAAAACTAAAAAACTAAATTGGAGCCTTTCCAGCAAGTTCTTTACAATAGTCTACTAAGTATTGACAATAAAAAAATTTTCCTGGGGAATGTACAGCGACCGATATTTATTATAAGGTTTAAATTTAAGAAAAATTGAAATAGAACTCCTAGTGCAGATTTTATTTTTACAGGATATTTAAAAGCTTAAACGGTTAATCATTTGTATGTTACATGTGTTATTTAATACTCGCATCGATGTCTCACCCCACTCCGATGTTTAGCAAATATTTATAATTATAAGATCTATAACATATATTACTAAATTCTTTAAGAATGTGATGGTGTTATTTTTTTTTTTGCGTTAAAGTGTCCTTATAATTAGTATTAACAGTACTTAACGACCATGAGTAATACATTAAAGTGGCAAAGTTTTGCGAACTAAAATCGCCAAATAACTTCACTAAGGCCGATGAATTATTGCTTCCTATCGAGCATTAATGAGATAAATAATTTTCAGAGCATGCAGCGCCCAGTGACGCAAGTACCGACCAGTGGAACAGACTCAAGTGGCTCGTCGACTATACGCGATGACTTCATCGGTAGCAGAGAAAATAACAATAATCAACAGCAATATAGCAACATCGTCGGGATTGGCATTGGGAGCGGAGCCGCGGGCAACGGACCTCGGGGTGGACGCGCCTCGCAGTTCCCTCCGGTCAATAGTTTCGCCTCGGCGACGCGCATCATAAACCATCACCTCTTCGGGACGATCGCAAGTTCCAAGCACAACACCGGTAATTGAATGCAGCATTGCCAAGTAAGCCGCAAACGCGCTGCCTTCTTCCATTTTGATTTCCATTAAGACTTTAAATAATTGCCGTGGCAGTTGTTAGCGGTGCGCGACCACTCTGTTGTAAATAAAGGAGGCGAGTGTACGAGTGTCGTCCTGCTGTCGCGCCCGTACACACGTTGATATACGAAAGAGCGCGAGTGAACATATCGATGATAACTGACGATTGCCTGCTAGATTAAACGTATTTAACGTATAATACATAAATTTATACATTTATGCTTATGCACAATCGAAGATATTACATTGATAATTATCCAATTATGACCGAGATATACGACAGGAAAATAAAAAGTGATTATTTATATTCGTGTGGGTGTGCACTCGGTAAAGAAAATGAATTTATTTATATATGATAAGCGCGAATTATAGTACAAAGCACTTAGCAATATATAAAAGTGACTTGATCGATAAAGGATGTTAGCAATAAAGTTCTGCGTTTTAAGCAGAGAAAATCTATTATCGAGTTCATTTTTCTATGAATATACACTTCCTATTTATAAATTTATGCTTATTTTACTATTAATTGTTTTATCGTATACATCCTTCTTCCACTATAATTAGAGTTTGTCTTTCCTCTGCGCTTTTCGACAATAATCTTAAAATCAATTTAACAAACTTAGGTGGGTATGTACGTTAGTCATTTTTTGTACAGATTATTTATTCCCTAATACGAATCTGAAATGGAATTCAGGCAATTTAAGCGCACATAACTCAGTACTTCGGCAACAACGGCTTTAAGCATCACAAGATTCATAAATTGCTGCATATTTTCAATTTGAGTCATCACCGTCATTTGCTTTCTTTCAGGCACTAATAAAATGATAGAATGAATAATTAAATCCCGGTAACTAAAATTTAAAGTCAGCTTCACCTTAATGTCGGCTTATTAAATTATTGTTATATCTATAACATGACAGGAGAAATTTTCTTTTCCGTTAAATTTTTCCATTTATTTATTTATGTATCCTCTTTTTTCTAATAAAAACATTATATGTCTATTGTCGATTATTAAATTAGATTTTATTTACAAAAAATAATAAACCTGTTAAGCAAGTCGAGAGAGAATAGTTTTTCAGAAATTATTTTAGAGGAAAGTATAAGAAAAGAAAAAAATTATTAGAAAGGATAATCAATTAGCTTATTAAAGTTAAGGTCTTATCAAAAGAGCAGAAATAGTTGTAACCCTCGTTCACGTTTAGTTAATTAAATATTGTTATAATTTAAATAAACATTTTCAATTCATACTATTTATCTATACTGCTTTAATCAAAATTTCTACTTTGCTAAATATTTTGGTTCTGGCGATGTCTCTTACTGTTTTTGCTAACAATATACATACATACAGAGAGAGAGAGAGAGAGAGAGAGAGTGAGTGAGAGAGGGAGGATAAAAGAGGTGCGAATGAGGGAGGGTGGGAAGGAGAGAGAGATTTAAATAACTTGAAATGTAATGAAAGCAAAATTATCCAAAATAATATTATATAGATATAGATATAGATATTACATAAGAAACTAAAATATTGAAATTATATATTATTTTTTATAAAGCTGAAATGTAATTCTGATTATTTATTAATATATTAGAAGTACCAACAAATCTACAAAATAAAATAGCCTAATTTTGTTATATACATAATTTTATGAACGATATTTATTTTTATAGTATATAAATAATAAATAGATTGTTACACCTTATGATAAATGCATTATCTTCTAGCTGAATTTATTAATTAATTCAATGTCAATTAAAAAATATAAAAACTAGTGCGTATTACGATATATAATATTTTGTTCACAATTTTGACATTCTTTAAAAATCAATTTATTTTATCAATCATATTGAATCTCTAACTTGTGTAATAAAATCAATAACATATATATATATATATATATATATATATATATATAAGGTGCCTTCATAAATACGTTCTTCTATAAATGTAAGATAGAATCCAGTGAAATTTTTCGAGCAAGTTGTAGAACAATATTGAAGATTGAGATATCAGCAAAAGCAATTCATGAACTAATAATCACGTAGAATTTGAGCATTGTGCAGGAAATGAACAACTAGAAACTAGTGGGTAAAAGAATAAATTTCCTTGGCGAATAAAATGGCGAGGCAGTCTGCGGGTGAGGGGGAAGCTAGGTGACTAAAGAAAACGTGAGACTCATATCCTATGTCTGCCTGCTGAACGTTTTTCAGGAAAGACCGCCACAAGTAAACTGTCACTGTCCGTCGATTCGATAGACAGCGAAGCAACGCCGTTCATAGAAAGGCATCGCATATCGAAATCTATATTAAAGAAGTCCGAAAGCAGCAATAACTATTATAGTAATGCCGGTGATGACTCGGACACCGAGAAGCTCATTGGCTGTGACAATATACTCAGCACGACAGCTATGTGCGACAACGATGGTGGCCTCACATTCATGGGCAACGCATTTTCCAATGTTTATGGTACGCGCGCTCACGCAAAACAATGAGAAAAAAGCACCAAAGCAAACGCAATGCTCGAGCAATTTAAGAATAGTCGTTTAGAGCTCTCATTTCGTTCATTATAGTCAGTTGTATCATGCCAAAAATTTGTATTATATTTCATTGTTCCTAGATTATTCACGAGCGCATTTTATTTAAGTCATCATCAATGTATATTATATTGATAATCACAACGATTTTTCTTCTCGAAGTACATATCTTAATTCTGAAACATTTTCGAATATTAGATATTAGAATTGAAATGCTTATATAGTGCGAATACGCCTTGTAGAAAAGCCAATTGAGTATTAAGTCGTTTACGAAGCTAAGGATTTTCTTTTTATTATCCGAATCAAAGATATACGCAAGTACATCGTGCGCATTTGAGTACATTTTCTATAAATTTTTTGAATTGTGACTCTTGAGCACAATTCATTTTCAAAGCATATCCGCTGCTAATAATTATAAAAAATAAAATGTTGTCCAAGTATCATTTGTATTGTCCAAAATACTTTAATCCTGTATAAGAATCTTTAAAGTAGTCATTACTTGGAGCTTATTATATATGAAATTGAAGAAAGCATTCATCTTTACGTCCTTATTCTAATTTTTTATATATATATATATATATCATAATGCTATTAAAAAGTGAAGTAGATATGTACAAACGTATTATATACTTTCTGTAATATAATATATAAAAAGGGAATAAATACATCACTCGTATCTTTTATGAAAATCTACTAGTAGTCTCTATTTTATGATGGACTGCTTACAGAATTATTCAAATCAAATTCATAATTAATTACAATATTACAATACAACTATTTTTAACATACTATTTTTAAATTTGTTCTCTCTTCATTACTATATTTATAGATTGAGTTATGATATAATTTTTACTAACTTTTAGAATAAATTGAAAAAACTAATTTTTTATTTAATTTGCTTTCATTTATTTAAATTCTTAGATTAATTAATTATATAAAATATTTATTAAAAATTAATAATAAAATTACAATTGATTGATAAATACATTACCGGTAATATCATAATTCGATTTTTAATATGAAATTATTTATGAAATGTTATATTTATAAAAAAATATATCTTGTAATTGATAGCAGAATTATTCTGCATTATCGACATTAATTTTGTTAATCCATAATGAATATATATTTATTAAATAATATTTAAACACAATATTAGTATATTTTGTGCGGTTTTGTAATTAAATTAGTATTATTACACTATAGTTTTATTATTATTGAAAAAAAAATCTACATTCAAATTAAATATAAATAATTTCACATAAATAATTAATTTGCGAAATTCAATTCCTATCATATTCAAAGTACTCGAAAGGCAAGGTATCAGTTAATATTTGCTTATTTAAATTTAAAAAATAATTAATATCTTCTATATTTTATTGCATGAAAGAAAAATATTTAATATACATAGCATTGAACATATATAATAATTTATAATATTAAATATAGATTGCTTTTATAAAATTAATAAATTAATAAATCAACATTACTAAAGTTTATAAGGAACATATTTGCATTTCTTTTTTATATTTCATTAAATTATTAGCAATAAAATTATTGTTAACTGATATTAGCTACAAATTCACCGTTGCAAAGCTGCTGAAATAAATAACATACTTATTTAATTTGTCAAATATATAATCACATCATTCAGCAATTGCATGTATAAACTTTGTTATATTCATAAATTACCATTTATTAGCCATTTATTATAAAAGCTTTACTGCTAAAAATTATATAAAGTAGATGCTTCGAGTAATATTCTGATTTTTATAATTTTTTTTTCTTCAAGATTGGTAGAATTAAATTAAAATATTATTCAGTCACAGTAAACGAAATACATTATAATGCTTTGCAAAATATCATTATTAAAAGCATAATGCTTAATAATTGTAGAAGCTTAAAACGCTAGTAATGCACTATATTTATAATATACCTTCTATTCTTTCTTTCATAGATTATATTAAGTAAAAAGTAATGTTAAACTAGTACAACCAATTCAAATAACCGCAATTATTACATGTATATATAATCAAATTGTATGTATGTATGCATTTATATATATATATATATATATATATATATATATATATATATATATATACACATATATAATTAATAATGAAATAAATTATATAAAATAATACATAATGTAATTTATTTTTCTTAAATTATTATGTTTTATAAATATAATCTGTGATTTATATTTCAATCAATATTGATTTGATATGACCTAGAAGAGCAGATATAAAAGTTCCACCATTTTAATAATTTTCACTAAAATATTTTAAGACTATATCATATATAAATGTAATATAAGACAGCACTTTCTATTTGCATAATGGAGAAAATGCAATATATTTTCTACACAATATATAGAATGTTAAGTAAATTAAAAATTATGTATTATATACAAATTAGAATTGTACTTAAACAAACGGTTTTATTTTTATAATTTTAAACATTTTAATTTTGATTCAATAATATGATAATTGAATCAATTTTTTTCGAATAATTCAGTTCGTATTTTAAAACAGTTACATTTAATATGAAAATTGCTATTTATTATTGTATTTCTTCGTTTTTTTTTAACACTTATTTGTAATTTCAGGTACAATACAAATTGGATGAACAAATTAGAAATTTGAACAAATATAATTATTTTCAATTTAATGTTTTTAAATTCATTAAAAATTTGATTTCATTTATTAATAATTGTTATAAATTTATGAAATTTAGTGAAAATAACACACAATACAAATTAACTTTGTATAATAGTTTAACTTTTTCTAATTGGTAGACTATTTTCGATTCCAATATGCAAAAAATGGCTTGATTATAAATAGTAATTTTGATCATATTTATTGAAACATTTATACTATCTCAAATAATTACAAATATTGTAGAAATAATAACAAATATGACGAATAATTTATTGATTAATTTATTAAGTAATTTTATAAGCGTAGGAATTAAAAAAAAAAAAGGGAATCAATTAGGTATGATCTATTAGGTAATTAATTAGATGAATTTTTGTAATTTAATTTATCAAAATATTATTTTTATACTGATAAAATTTATTCAAAATATATATTATAATTTATCACAATTGATTATTACAATATATTTCAAATGTAAATTACATTTTTTTCATACTTTTTGTTATAATACCTACAAAGCATTAAATAAATATCAAATGTATTTTGTTTTTTTTTAATCTAATGTATATTATAAAATTATTTCAACAATTTCATACCGCTATAATTTATATTACATGCAGTATATTGTACAAATCACTAAATATATCTTGTTTACATCATAATGGTAATATATTATAATACATATTTGGTCCAACGGTATGATTAGAAAATAATTGATCTCTATTGCGTGTTATTTCGTAAAAGCTAACTTTATTAATTCCCGTTGAAATAACACCTCGTTTGCATTTTATACATCTTTTAACAATTCTATATTTCATTCTAAATAAAATGGCTTAGAGTTACTATAAAATGAGATAATGGAAGTAATATTCTACCATTGAAACTTTAGACTAAATGTGATATATAATAAATACAGTAGTTTAAGAGCTAAATATGTTATTAAATTTGTCAAATTATTTCCGTACATTTAAAAGCATTTTTGCTTAAATTTTGTACATATATATTCTATACATATACATTATTTTCATCAAAGTTGAAAATTCTAAGTGTCTAATCATTTAATCTTTTTGAACTGTGGAACATATTTTATCTACATCAATTTATAAAAATTCAATCTGTAATACTTATTTATTAATATCTTGATTAATTTAAAAATATTGAAAATTGAAATGAAAAATTAATTATTTAAAAGTGAAATCATTTTTTATAGATTGGAAAAAATTTTAACGATTGCACAAATTTACTCAATTATTTTTATTAATTATGTTTTCATATATATTAAAATGTTTGCTTTAATATAAATACTTTCACAATCATTGTATCGTTAAAAATTATCGACTTCTGAATATAATACAGATTTATACATATTGAATATAAAAAAAATATAAATTAAAAAAATATGTTCGTGATAAAAGTAAATTATAACGAAAATATTTATTTACTTTTTATTATCAATAATAATTTACGAAAAAATTATTTAAACAGAATTGAAAATCACTGATATAAGTATAATTTGTTAATAATTAATATTATTAATATTAATAAGACTATGGATTATGGTTTATATTTTTAATAACTTTATTTGTTTATAACTTTATTTCTATAGAAATAATCAGCAGATTGTGAGTTTACTAGCAAATTTAAGATGGTTTCAAAATGTTGCATCGGAAGTATTAAAATCTTAATGTTAATTAATAGTAAGAAATAGGTATGTTTTTAATTTGCGAGAAAATATATTTTACATTGAAAAAATATTGATTAGTTCTAAATTAATATAATGTTTGTAAACTTATTATGAATTTATAAGTTATCAATAAAACGAATTGATAAGGAATGGCGCTAGTATGTTTAATATTTTTAATGTTATATGCAATTGTCAATATTACCATTTATATGCATATTTGCATTATTTTATGTTGCAAGATTTACTAAAAATTATTTTTAATTTAATTTCACGACATTTTAAATTTTATCATTACTTCTTATATGCTTAAGTTTGAAATTTTATTATTGATATAAACTTGAATTGCAAGATGAAAAGAAGTTAACGAAGTTTAGAAAATTAAAAGTAAGTATAAAAAGGAAATTATTTTCTCAGATAGATAATATTTGCATAGTGCATTTCATCTGTATACATAAGTATTTGAATGTTTACGTAGGTACATATCAAATACAGATAAAAGGTCGGTGTTGATAATGTGTAGTTTCATAATATTTAAAATATCTTTTTGTACAATTCTTAGCTTTTGAGTAAAAATATTTTGCTTTTGGTATATATGCCCATATGCATCAATGTGTATGCGCGCGCTCGCGCGCACGCGTTTGTAATAATAATACATTGGATGATAATTTGCTTAAGTGTAAGAAATAAATGATATGAGGATTTATTATTTCAGATATTAGGATTTAACGAATATGTAATTTGTACGAGTACGCGCAGGAGTATTTTGGTACCATAGCCAATTGTTATAATTGCTCATACATTTAGTTTGTTCGTACAATCATTATAAAGAAGGTATCGATTTTAACTGTGCTTCGATAGTTCAAACAATTATAAATAAAAAAGCAAAAGTATTAATTTGTACAACATTTAGCATATCGGATTTTTGTCTTGCGCCATAAGTACAGGCAACAAAAAGTAATTTTACCTACACTAACCTATAAAGTAGTCAATCTGAAAATGATTTACAATGCAAAAAATCCTTGATCGAGGATATTGAAAATATCCTTGAGGAGAGGACGTTGCGGGTGGTTGAAAAGGTCACGAGGGGACCTAACTCTATCTAACTCTGCTTTCAGAAGAGAAGCAAGCGCGCGATGAGACGTCGCTGGAGAACAAGAACAAGCGGGCGTTCGAGGAACTTCGTAGCCTCAAGTTAAAACCTCGCTTCAAGGACCCACCTGAGGTCCAGTCACAGCGCGAGAGCTCCAATCAATCAATACTCCTGAGTTCCCTTAGACCTCAGCGGCCCTCTAAGAAGCTCAGCATCCAGATTGATAAGCGTCACGCGCACCAGCATCACCACCAGCCGCAGCAGCAGCAGCAGCAGCAACAGCAGCAACAGCAACATCAACATCAACATCAACATCAACATCAACATCAACAGCAACAGCAACAGCAACAGCAACAACAACAACAAAAACAACAACAACAACAAGGGAACGCTAGATCTGTTCCCGGTCCCGCGGCCAACTGTCTTCCCCAAGACTATCGGACGATCTCATAGCCAGCCGAAGGTTTTGAGATCTGACGAAAAACCGGCAATGCTCACTCCGAAGAAAGGACCGAGCCACGGGCGCGTCCTCGCTCTTTCTTACACCTTAGTTACCTTTAGTTATGTTCCTTTACAGGCGAATTGAATCTTCGCTCCTCCAACGCGCGCCACTCCTCCAGGCTACCTTCTTTAGCCTGCGCAGGCTTTTCTAACGGTCGATGCTTAAGCCGAAGCTGCTTGAGCTTAGGAAAGCGGATTTTTTAACGTTCTTCTTGTAAGAAATGACAGTCTGTGTTACTCATTATAAGAACCTTCGATTTATACGCTACTTCCCTTTCTTTTTATACAATGTTGAATACGTTTTCCAATGTTGAATACTGTTGATATTCATAATGCAAGTAATTATTTATTTTACGAAATCTGCTTCCATAAGCTGTTAAAAATTTCGATTTAACGTACATTTAACGAATAAAGTGCTCGAAAATATAAATCGAGTTTTTAAACTTTTTATTCATTTCCATAATGACACCGTACGTGTTTATAATTATCTTTTTACATCTTACACCAAACGTTTCTCACTATTTTCTTACTTTTTATACACAATATTTTTTCTGATATAAAGGAAATCCTTTTATATGCAAAAATTATGGTTACCAAACATTTCTTGTAACATTCACTTCGCGCACTCTCAGTTTTTATAACACAATAAGGTTGGCGAGTTTTATTACTTAAATGTAAGTCGTTTTTAAAATGGCGAGCTTTTAGATACAGTAAAAATGTTCGATTTAAAATTAAAATTAAAACGCTGTAAATAATAGTTTTTAATATATTTATGTACATCGTTAAGTTATTAGCTTTATTTAATATTTCTTATTATATTTACGATACACACGCGCGCGCGCGCGCACACACACACACACACACACACATATAATATTTTATTCATTTGTACAAATAATTTTCTAATAATTCAGATTATTTTTATATGAATAATTATTACTTTGCCATCTGGCTAATTTTTTTTTTCTTTTATTTTAACATTGTTTTGTATAATTTTCTATCAGAAGTCCATATAATACTATTAACAATTTAGATAATGTTATTTATATATTGAATAGAAAAGCTTTGTTAGATGGCTTTAGATACTAATTTTGTTCAACTTGTGGGTTTAGATGTTATAACGAACGAATACTCACAGTGACGACATTATTTTATTAAAAAATCAGACTTGGACTATAAAAGAGAATAATAATATAATTTAGAAGCTTCGTTCTCCTAGAAGTTTTGGCATTAACTATACTTCCAGAAAAAGAAAAAAAGTGTGAGTAAAATATAAACAGCGTTAAATATGAAATGGGTATTACAAATATATCAAAATTAAACTAAAGAATATTAATGTATAGAGAGTCTATATGGCACGAAAGCAATTCCGAGAGATACACATAAGGGACAAAGTGACAAAAAGTCAAAAATAGTATACATAAATTCAGTGAGAAAAACAAATGTTGAAAAAAAAGAGAAAAAAAACATAACAATAAAAAAATCTCCCCTGTAGAGATTCACCGTAGCATATCCCAAAGTGCATACCAAGTCTAGTTTGCAATATTTATAAGACATGCAACTAGATATAAAAAGGAATATACTCACTTAGATTATGTCCTTTGTAAAATATATGTTATAACAGATCGACTGTGTTATTGATAACTTTACCGTAGTTATTAAGGCTTTATTATAATGCGATGATGAAAGAAATTATGGAATTTACGTAATAATCAACGTGATCTAATTTGTACATTTCAGTCAGGCTTCCGAATATAATTACAAGAAGAATTACAGCAAACCAAAATTATGAAAAAAAAAAAAAATAATAATAAAATAACCAGAATTATTGTATAAATATAGTACATATTTATTTTTTGTAATAAAAAAAATCATTATCAAATGTTATCAAAAACGAAATTTTAATATACACTTAACAATTTTAAAACATACAATACATTTTTAACCGTGCGAATTATATGAGCTAAATTACAATTAGTTTTAAGTTTTAATCGGAAGAATAATTTTAATTCAAAGATTGCAAACTGTTCCTTAACATTCAATATGAAATCTTTCATTACAAAATACTCATTCCTTTGTACATTTTCTATAATATATATTACACGATATATTGTAGAGATCGTACAAACATTATCTATATTGTTCATAATATGAAAAATATCGATAAAAATATAAGAAGCATTTGACCAAGTGTGTTTATTGGACAAAGGCTAAGTCAAATATTTTATCAGCATTAATGTACTTTAAAAGCATATAATTATAAATATTCGTTAACCGTATAATTTCATAACTGGTAAATTATTAAGAATTGGTAAACTACAGAGTGGATTATACTTTGAGTTTAGCACTTTTTTTTTCGTTTTAAGCTTCACTAAAAGCTTTACTAGTTATAAAGAAAAAGAAAACGAAATATCATTAGTGTTACGAAAACGAATGATAAAATCCAATATCTGTAATTTTTTGTCGACGTACAAAATTTTGTATAAATTAGATAGAGTATCTTCCGAAGTGAATATAGGTTAAATACAACATTTCATGAATTAGCACAAATAAATTCGCAAACTTTCTTTCGTTTCATTGGATAACAGAAGCTACAAAATGACCTGACAGGTGAATATGAAAGAATTTTGAAACAATGGCAGAGCATTCGAGTCCAGTATTTGCTTAGAGTTGTGAAATACATGTCTAAACAGTATCAACATTGCTATGCTTGTCTATTTACATTTCAAATAATTAAGATTTTCAAATACGGTATCATGATTCTAATGATAATAAATAAATGAAAATAAATTATTTTTTAATAAATATCTTAGATTTAATGTAATGGAATTTATACAAATTTCTCATTCGATTTTTATATTATAAAAAATATTTATAACCCTAATGATCATTGGCGTTTTACCATTGCTTTTAATTTTAATTAATTTAAATTTAAATTTAAATGAATTAAGCAATCAATAATTTATAAGGTAATAATATACATTTCATTTTTAATAAAGAATGATAAAGATATTTAAGGAACATTTTAATATAGAAAATAAAGTATTCTTAATGAAGTGATGCATAGGAAATTAAGAAGATTTAAAAAATTAAGATTAGCAATATTTAATCATTAAAGTTACTTAGCGAGCAATAAATAATAAAACAGATTTAAACATTTGAAGCATTTACTGGACTATGAAATATAAGTTATGTTTCGAAGCCTGATTTACGTATGGCTGTGTTATTATCGCGAATATATACATATAGAAACAAATATACAAAAGATGTATAATATGGAATGTGGGATCTCATGAGTGCAAAATGTAAAAAATAAATATAGCGAAGGAGAAAAAGATTGAGAGAAAATAAAATAAAATACGTTTCTCACCCTGCCTATGCCTCTGCGAAACTGATTCGGCGATTCGACAGGTATGAGAATAATTATAAAAAAATAAAAAAAACAGTGTATGCGCCTCGCTTGTATATAATACACAATTTTATTTATGTCACGCGATTATATGTTCATGCGTTTTTAAGCGATGCGTTTATTTAGTTATCGAAAAAGTGTAAAAAAGAGAAATAAGAACAGGTTACTAAATAAGACAGATTATAAGTAATGAAGAAATACTCAGAGCGTGTTGCAGAGAAGCGACATGTGATATTTTACTGTAGCCGAACATCCGCCTAAAGAATAAAAAATAAAAAAAAAAAAAAATTAAGCGCCATTTGGTCTTAAGACATACAACACATCGGCTGTTGTTTATCAAATATACTGACTATCACAAACATTCAAGAACAAAAATTATTGCAAATTAGAACCTTTGTAAATTACAAATGTTGGAAATATTTTGCATGTTTGTAAGGATCTAGTTTCATTACAACAAAATTCGTTGTATGCAAATCTTTTTACTCATATAATTAAGCGTAGATTGGCAATCATTATGCTGTCAAAACTTCATATGATAATCGAAATTTAAATTAAGGCATAGAAAATAATTAATCTATAATGATATGAAAAACGTAAATATTCATTTAAAACGAAAAAAAAGTATATAAACAAAATATTAAAATAAAATGATTATTTGTGTTAGAAACAGCATATATATTAATTAGGAGAGATATATGTTTAGCCATTTACGTCGAATTTTTTCAAATGCCAATATTCAATTAAATTTATTACAAGTACTATTTATAGTCAACCACAAGGCCATAATAACAAAAGATAGTTTATGCAGACGAAATAAATTTAGCTGAAAATCTATAAGCAAATATGATATTTTTAATTTGTAAGATATTTTATATGCTTTTTTTTCAAATTAATAATATAATTTAAATTGCAATATTTACATATAAATTAAAATATTTACTTTGCTAATTCCTATTGAAATACTTGCTTATTCTAAAAATAAGACGTACATCAATTGAGCATATTTAAAAAAAAAAAAAAAGTAGTATTATTTAGCAATGAGAGAAATAAAAGTGTAATTCAATATTTTATAAAAGTAAAACATTTATAATGATAAATTACCTATAAAACTGAAAAATAATAAAAATAAATATTTAAAGTTAAATTGAAAGAATTACAAAAATTATATATTTAAGCCACTTATACTTTCATTAAAGATTAATAAAAAAAAAAACATGAAATAAATTTTTGGCAAATATTCTAATTTGCATTAATTTTTATTCTCTGCATTAACTTAGGTGTGCAATGACAGATGTGCGTACGTTATTGATAGAGTTATTTAATTTCGTTTCTATTCAACTTGAGAGTTGAACTAGTTATTTCGTAGAAGGCCGGTGTTTCGTCGATGAGTGTTTTATGCAGTAGTGCTATGTTATATTAAAATAAAACAACGTGACGTTTATAAAATTTTGACGAGTATTTTGAGGGAGGCTGCGGAGAATTTCCAATGCTCCTAAAATAAGCTATTAATACAAATGAAAAGTTGAAAGTACAAAAAAAAAATAAAATAAATAAATAAATAAATAAATAAATAAATAAATAAAATAATAATCATAGCGATTCGTATACTCAGAAAAACT